AATATTAGGAATATAATTGTATTGATAATTTCAAATCAACCACTAGGGTGCAACACTGTCAAACCAACATCTCCTCTAACTCTGGAAAATTACTGTTAACTAATTTTTTAACTCTCAAAACTCGTATAATCAATTATTAAGAACCGAATCCTCTTTATTCCAAGAAAACATGACACTTAGCAAGTCATTATTAATAACATTGACGAAGTATGTGATTTAGGTGAAGGATTTCATCAGCCTTCCGGTGAATTTCATTCCCGAAACATTCTTTTGGATGAAAATCGTAGTGAAACGAATTTATTCCAGAGAATGTAATTTAACCAGTGAAAATGGTTACATCATGTTTCTGCTGCTGCGCTTTGAAGTCATAAAATTAACTTAATTGCGGAAAACCGGGAATGTTCTTTTGGAACTAAAAATTTTTGGAAAGCAGAGATATTTGTGGCCTTCAGAGATCACAAAAAATGACTACCATAACAAAAGTACTGCATTTATGCTTTCCCAAATGAAAGACGTTGGAGAACAGCTGTCGAAGGCTCATACCGAAAACAAGGAAAAAAAATCCCAAACCTGTAAAGACAGTTGATATTATTGTCAGCCAATATATTGTATCGTAAAATTTTAGATTAGGCTACTTGATTTTGGCACTTTTTTGTAGACTTTAGCACTTCGTACAGGTTACTCTCCCTTTCCAATTAGACTTTTGTGTAAGGAGAAAAAGATTATCCCTAAAGTATTGCTTTTCCCTTCCCGTCACTACACGTGTCTATACCCAGGAAAATTTAGAAGTTAGAAAAGTTGAAATAACTAGATAACTATTGAAAGTAAAATCATTATATAGAAACTACGAGACGTGGCCGTAATTACGGTAACCGCTCCTCTTTATAGGCTGAACCACTTTTTCCTCTTCCTACGGTCCTGAAATATGGTATCTCATATATAATAGGTTGATAAGTATCTCCTGTTGCAAGATTACTGAACATGTCGACAGATTACCAATAGCGACATAAACAGTCAGAATAAGCGTAGTAGGATAACCGAAGCGGACTGAAATGAGAGAAAAGTGTAAAAAATATATCGGTAGCAATATGGAATTGATCATATTCGAATTAATTCTATTTATTTTATTAAATTAATAAAGTGGGTTGTGCTGATTATCTTTAATATTAGGGAAGGGACATTTACAATAATAATGCTTGATGACAGAGGGAAGAGGGGCAAGAAACGATCCATTTTTTGATGATGTAAAATATGGACAGTCCTAAGGTAACATGAAATGGCTTTCAAATAGCTAGATATGTCAATTACAATGTTTTTAGAAGTTCACGCGCCATATATAGCCATTCTTGTGTTGCTAAAATTGTCAAGGTCAGAGGTGCATTGGACGCGTACTAATTTCTCTTTCGTTTATTAGATGCATGATTGATAAGTTTTAAATTTTTTATTTCCCAAAAAAAAAAAAATAGTTTAAGCTAATTGTTTATTTAAACTATTTAAATTTTTAAATTAATTTTTAACCGAATAATTAATCACATTACTAACAAGAATAGATAAATTGCATTTTTGTTCAAAATTATAATGTCTATTTATCTTCATATCCTGTAGTCTTAGATCTTGTTTTTAAAAGCTATATAAGGATTATTTTGAGAAAAATCTTATTTATTTTGCTATTTAAATCCTATGAAATAAAGTTTTGCTGTTAAAATCTTAAAAATAGATTTACAATATTTTGGACGTTATATTGAAAAAGAATTATTACTCAAATCTATTTTAAATGCTTACACACTAAGCCATTTAAATATATCATAAATATATTTTAATTTAATTTCTTTTCAGTTTTAACCAAACCTCGAAATGCATATTTAAAAGAATGTGTCTAGTCAAAATATCAGTTTAATAGACATACCTAAATATATTCCATCTTATATCTGAATGTGAACAGAATTTAGTTTTAATATAGAGACCGATTCAAATTGTATCAATTTCACTAATTACAGATATAAAGTTCTGTTCTTTCTACATGTTTACCTGGTCATCTCTACATAAAAATAGAGCTTATAAGTTCTATTTTAATTGTGTGATTTCCAGTATAAAAATTTTTACTACAATATTATCATCATCATTATTATTTTTTAAAATAAAATTCTATTTAGAGGTGTAATAATCTTTAAATAGAATTGTATGTTTACATGTAAAATTAATATTGTGAAAAATCATATTTTATTATTCCCTAAATAACACTAAAGTTTATTTATTAAAATAGCTAATTGTAGCACTTTTTAGTTTCTATAGTCTCTAATAGGATAAATTTTGAGTTTGAAAAAATTTATGACACAGAAACTTAATTAAACAATGGAAACAAAACAATGGAAAGATATTTAATTACTGTAATTAAACTTGACTTTAAATAACTCAAATTTATTTTATTTGTAAAATAATATGTTTAACTTTTCAGAAAATTATATGAAATTTTTATTGTATGATTTCCAGTATAGAATTTTTAAAATAAATTATTATTTTCTAAATAAAATTCTATTTGGAAGTGTAATAGTCTTTAAATAGAATTATATTTAATTGAAAACATATATTTACCATTTTATACGAGGATCATTTGTTAGAGCGATGAAATTATCAGACTGAAAAGAACAGAATATATAATTCCGATTTTAATAATTTAAGATTATTGTTATTATTATTATTTTGTGTGTTTTTTCTTGTAATGGCTGTTGCTCACACTAATTATATTTTAGAATTTATTGCAAATAACCAAATAATTATAATTACGTTAAATAACTTAATTATACTTTAACTTAATCTTTACATTATAATCATAATGATATTTTATATTTCTCTAGATAAAAATGCAGATATTAATTATTTAAAAAATAATTGGAAATGATCTATCTATACTGAGCAATGGATATGGAAAAAAAAATGCAAAATTCTTATACTTAAAAGAAAGAAAAAAAATAAATAACTGATCAAGTATTCACGATCCATATCTCATTCTTTCCCAGATGCTTTAAATCTAAAATTTAAATCTATATTGCCCTTTGTACTGTACTTTCCATAGAATATTTTGAGAATTAAATAGCTATTGTTCTATTAAAAGAATGGTAATTAACTGCTTTGAAATTTATTTATTTTTAAATGTTCTGTAAACCTATCAAAACTGAGCAAATGTTTAGTTTTTTCATCTGTAATATTTATTTCTATAGACTATTCATTTTATTTATATATTTCGTCATATAAATGCAAATGATATTTTTCAATCCTTNGAAATTTATTTATTTTTAAATGTTCTGTAAACATTTTTCGTATTCAGAAATATTATATTTATAAATAATAGGTATCATCCTTACATAATAGTAACTATTTTTATGATATTCTGTGAATAAATCTTACTTAAAAGTTATTTTAAAATAATCGTAAAATAAGATATTTGAAGTTAATTGTCTCTTTTTTAAATGACATAAAAAATAGTTTTATTTTTATTGTATTTTTTTTCGTTATTTAAAATACAACGATCAATTCACTATATAGGTTTACTGAAAACTGTATTAAATTTATCGATTTATTATAGTTAAATTATTATTTATTTGAATGATTTTATTTCATGATTTCAGAATTTATCAATTGAGAAAAACTAAATAAAGAAATTGTGTCATTTTATTTTAATATTTACAGTTTAAATATAGGCTATTTAATATTTTAATATTAGAATTATATTGATATAATATTTTTTAAATAAAACAAATTTTTAATGTAATGTTCTATGAAAATAGTAATATTTCCATATTAAAAACATTTAAACAGACCATTACAAGCATAATTTTTTATTTAATATTTTCTATTGAATTTCACGAATCACATTCTAACTGTTGGTATGTTTTATTCTAAGCCATGTTATTATTATGTTTAAGTTCAAAATTTTATTCGAGTCTATTTTTAAATTATTGGCCTTGGGATAAAAACGATTATGCAGGAACGAAATCAATTATTTATTTCTAAGATACTTTTTAAAATGATTTATTACGCTAAATATTTATGTTTTGGTTATTTCTGAATTTTAATTGAAAAATTAAATATTAAAAATTTAATGGCATATATAATGCTTATATGATGTGATCTGAATAAGAAAACATGTCAATAATTTCAAAGAAACGAAGCTATTTTATAAATTTTACAAAATATTTAAGAATATTAGCATGATTTATAACAAAAATCACTTTACAGATAATAAAAAAAGCATATTTCCTTGCACAGCTTTCGTGCTAGGCTGTTGAAACAATTTTACAGGAATAAAAATCCGTTAATAAAACTGCATACTGTAGTTAATTTTTAAAGTATTTTGGGACTCAATGACGCTTAAGTTAAAACTAAGTATGCTTAATACAAAAATATATATACGTGAAGAAATAAAAACAGAATTAAAAATGTAAATCAAACTTTTAAATTCATAAAGCAGATATTATTTTGGAACTTCTCAAAAGGTATGAATTTGAGCATGACTCATTAACTTACGGTTGTATAGAAGTATACGACCTGCTTGGGCAATGAGTCAAATGGCTGACGGCAGGTGATCTTAATTTATGTATGAACGATATTTTTCTTTTCGCTGTGTCGGGCTAGGAAACACTAATCGCTAAAACTTTTAGTGCTATAATAATTAGCTTATGCCTTTAAAAAAATATTGATGATTCATGGTAGATAATAAGGAAGACACTTATTGCAAAGATTTTGTCCAAGTAATATTGTATAGTTATATTTAGCTTATTTTACTGCTGGAGGATCCCATACTGAAATAGAGAGAGACAGAGGAACGGGTCAGATGTGCTAATAGCAGATTCCATGAGTGACTATCGTACCATTGTTCCCTATAAGGTATGATGAGTGACACGTCATTTCTGCCACTGTATTGTATTCACTGGTAGACTGAACCAAATTCTAATGATACCACCCTCTTATTCCTTCAGCCAATCAGAGAGCTGGATGGGTTCACTCATCTACAGAAAGCTAGCTGATATCCGATTGCAGGGGTTTATAAACCACTGTTTGTATGAGTGACTACAGAATAGCTTTCGAACGTAAGTGAAACTTCTTGTAGCTTGCATTGTCTTTAAGCCTACTATTGTTGTACGGAAATTATATTATGTGTTGATTGTCTGCTACCTCTGCCGGGATACTTTAAGTGATTTCTGCTACTATTCTATAGTGGATAGAGCTTGTGCTATTTTTCATATTCAACTATTGACGTTTGATCGTACTTCAAATTAGAGCGTCTTCATCCAAAATTTTTCTCATCTGTTTCTTGTGTAGTCCATATCCTCCTTGTTTGATTTCTGTAGTTTTGAAGTTTTAGTTTTTAGTAATTAATGATTAGGCTTAGACAGACATACTTAATTAATACTTAGGCTTAGATAGACTTACTTAATTAATACTTAGGCTTATTTTATTTTTATTATAACTTAATTTTAACTTTTTAAATTAACTGCTATAATAATTCAATTATTACACTAAAGCAGGACTAATAACTTTACAGTAAATATATTTTTATTTTGAATATCTTGATGTTAGCTTACAATATCGAAGAGTAACAATTAATTGATGCCTTTAAAATTAATCATGGAGATAATGTTTTAAGAAGATAAATTTTATTTTTCGAATTTTTATACTAATAGCGTGCCATTAGGGTTAATTTCTTTTAATACTCGTATAATACTAAAATATTAAACTCTTTATAAAATATCAAATATTATTTTTGAATAGGAGACATCGAGGGCTGTTCTGCCTTGTGTGTACTACAATCTGTTCCAGCTTTTAGCATCTGAAAGCAGAGTTCTGCAAGAAGAAAAATGCCAAGGAAGGTCGAGGCACCATCGGAGGATCCCGATCCTACACCATACCTCTTTATTTCTAGAGAGCAGAAATTGAAAGATCAGGCCAAGCCATACGATGGCAAAAAGATGGTATGGATCCCAGATGAAAAAGAGTGCTATTTGTTTGGTAATATCCAAAGCACTAAAGGAGACATGGTTACCGTTGAACTTGAAGGCGGTGAGGTAAGTGCAAGATATTTATTTAATAAAACAGAAAAATAAATTTAAAAGATTTAAATGCATTTTAACAAAAATTAATTTGGTAGAAAATTATTTACAATTAGTAATATCTGTGTTTAAAAATAAATTATCGTTTCATACTTATTTTTGTAAAAAGTCAATTAACATTATTAAATGTCAATTTTTAAATGACTGAATAGACCTATGTATTCATTTTAAAATTACATTACATTTAAAACATTTTATTAGACCCGTCAAGTTAAGAAGGATCTTTTGCAACAAGTAAATCCTCCCAAATACGAAAAATGCGAAGATATGTCCAACTTGACATATCTGAACGATGCCAGTGTATTGCATAATTTAAAACAACGATACGTTGCTCAGCTTATTTACGTAAGTATTTCGCTGAAAGATTTTAATTGTACGCTTTATTATCAAAACAAAAAATAGATAAGTAATTTTATTTTTACAGACTTATTCTGGCTTGTTTTGCGTTGCTATCAACCCTTACAAGAGATTTCCCATTTACACAAACCGTGCTGTTCAAATTTACAAAGGCAGAAGGCGTACAGAAGTACCACCCCATCTTTTTGCAATTGCTGATGGTGCTTATAATAACATGTTGACAAGTAAGTTACTCGAATCAAAGAGAATTATTACACTAAATATACAAATAAAAATATTAGCATAAAAATCAGCAATTATGTTATAGTTTAATAATACAGAACAAAATAAATCGAGTAAACTATTTACTATATAAAGGAATAAACATAAAATAGAAGTATGAAAATAACATGCTGTTGTCAGCTAATGTTCTTGTGCCAACTGGGACGGCATAATGTATGCGAATGTCGGATAAAAATTTGGACTCGCCCTTCGTCTCTTCTTTCTTTCACTCCATATTTGGCAAGTTAAACAACAGTCTTTCACTGTAATCTTCTCTTTCATTTATTTTTAGTAGACATCGTTAATTATAGGTACAACACTATTGCATTACTTGAACATTACAATAGGTTCGCTCCTCCGCTAAAATCCGTTGTAGGAGATCTGTTTTACAGCTTCCTGGCAGATACTTGCTAAGAACTATAAATACGTTTTCTTTATGAATTGATAGTAACTCAACATTTAGTTTTAAATTTAAACAGAATTTTTCAAATTTTTTATTATTCCAAATTACCGCATAAATTGAAAATGATCTGTTATGATTAAACATTTTAGTTTCAATTCCAAATTATTTTCAATATTAATGTTACCCTATTGCAATTTAGAAGGCCAATAATTTTATGAAGAAACATTAATATTAACTTTAGAAAGTTATTAATTTCAAATAAAATACAATACTAAATCTTAAAGAAATTTTCTTACAAGAGCCTGTTATTTCGATTTATAAAATGCACTTAATTACGTTTGCAAACAGAATAAATTTTATTTATTTACTTTTTGTAAAATTTGTATTAATTGTCACAAGTTACTTTCAGTTTTCGAAATTATTTTACAAAAGTAGAAAATTGATTTGTTTACTTATTGTTATTAAAACTCTAAGAATATTTTCATTAATATTTTCTGTAATAATAATAATAATAATTTGGAATTAACCTAACAAATATTTGATCGCAGATGTCAGGAAAAGAGAATTTAATACAACAATAAATTAAATTAACTGTAGTTTACATTAGAGCCATGGCTAATTTAAAATTAATTTTTTTTACCAGTATTATTATTATAACCCCGAAATTTGTGTTTGATTTTTCTGTAATTTTCATTCTGATAAAATCAAATTTTCAATTTCATGAAGATTTTTTTTCATTCGAAAAGTTAAAACAATAAGTTAATATCTTCATATAATTAAAGAAAATTTATTTCTTTTCAAATAATCTGGTGAATTTACGTTTGCAAATTAATAGGGTTACATAGATTTAAAATTATATCACTGATACATTTAGGAATTCTTATTAGATTTGTTCAGAGGAGAACATAATAATTTAAATTAGGACTTCTCAACTGGCTTTGCTTGTCGATCCCTTTCTACAATATACTAATAAAATACAAGAATAAATTACAAATGGGATGAGATAAAGAAATCAGATAGGAATTGATAATAATTTTTTTTATTAAACCTAAATCAAAATCCAAAAGTTTTTATTTTACTAAAATTTAAAGATATACGATTACTATTATTATACACTGCTGCTTTATTATATTTTTAAATATAACAAAAATATATTTGTCCAACTACTCCTAGTAATTTATCGACCCCTCGAGGATCATTTGCGACCAGGTTTCAAACTCATGATTTAAACTTTAATTACATAAAATCATAAATTATTGATTTAATTGGCAAGAAAAAGTGATGTATTTAGAGATAAAAATATATAACAGGTGATTGTAAATAACTTAAGATAAATTTACATATAAATACAAGTATACCAAGTTAAGTTTTTATTTTTGCAACATAAACAAATCGTTTAGATTATAGTATTTTCAGATTAGCTTATACTGTATATAACTTAGGTTTTTTATTTTTAACATTTCAACGAGAGCAAAGATATATATTCTAACTTTTTAAATATTATCAATGTTAACAAGAAATTTCTCGTTGTTTAAGAATTTTATTGAATATTAATCATTTCTGAGATAATTGACAGCATAAATTAAAAAAAATAGTTATAATAGGCTATACAATAAGAGCGCTTAATATAGACAGAGCTGTAGTGGAAGATATACTGCGATATGATATTTTTAATTCGAAAAATAGTAGAGGACATACCGTCGTATATTCTGCTTTTTCGTAGAAATATCATACGCTCTCTGGTTATACGATTTTTCGTATAATTAGGAGTGTGTACAATAGTAAATTGATGGAATAATTTCTTTTATTTGAAATAATCAAACCAACACCTTCATGATTTACAAATAATTGCTCGTCTTCTTTTTTCTGGTCTCACATATATATACATATAATTACCTATTTTAATTTTAAATGAATGAAATTTATATATATGTAAATCTATCTGTAAGACTTATACGTTAAATTAAGTTACTTAATCCGGTTTAAAAAAGATACTTTAAAGATCTTTAGATTTTATGAACATTTAATTAATTCGGCTAAATTAGAAAAACATAAAACATAAATGCACTTTTTAAATATGGAATTAATTATATAAATAGGATATTGATTTTTTTTATTTCGATGTTTTATCTATGAAATTTTTAATATTTATTTAAACCACATTGTTTTTAAATTCAAATAATTAATCATTCAATAGAAACTCTATTTTACGTTATGCTTTTGTATTTTAAATAATTTTACGTTATTTTGAGTTCAAGTTTTTTTAATACAAATTTGTATTTAAACTGAAATACAGTTTAAGAATTCAAAAATTTCATTTTCTTTGACCGTAATATCAGTTATTAATTAATGAAAAATAAAATAAGAAATCCAAGACAAATAAAAAAATAAAATAAACATGGAAAAATTTCAGATATAAAATTTAGTAGAATTATTCGATCAGGAAAATTAACCTTAATACTGGAATAACAATGAACTAAGTTTGCATAAGTTTAGGACATTATTGAATTAAAGTTGATTTAAAACAATTTGTTAATTAATTTAAAGTTAACCATTTATGTTAAATTATATTCTTGAAATCTAATAAATAATTGTTAATATTATATTATTTATTTTCGAGAAAATATTTTTAAAATAATATTTTTACTAATTTAAAATATCGTTTTGAAAACTATGATTTAAAATATTATTCTCTCATTCATAAAATTTTTATCTTTCTGCAGATCGTGAGAACCAGTCCATGTTGATCACGTAAGTAAATGTCTTTATAAAAATATTTTTGAAAGGTGTAACGAAATCCAAATTTTAGGTTTTAAGAAATTATCTGTATTTGGAAAAGGAAAATTGTTGCTAATTGATAAATTGATACTGTTTAGACGTGTAGCCTTATTAACGATTCAGCCTTTACTGTCAATTGATATCTATCCTACATACATAACACCTGGTTCAACCAATCAAACAACATCCAAGACGTTCCCGGATTTTCTACCTCATTTCCTTCCAATCCTACCTATCTGTCCAAAACCCTAAGATATTATTTTAGGATGTAAGCGTTTTATGCAAAAATGTTTCTTTCTAACTCAGCGGTGAATCTGGAGCCGGTAAAACAGAAAACACGAAGAAAGTACTTGCTTACTTTGCTAACGTCGGTGCTTCCACTCCCAAAAAAGGAGAAGAAAAAAAAGAGAAAAAGGTATTCTTGTGATGAAATGTTTTGTTGTCCTGAACGGAGATCCACCCTTTCCCAACTGAGCATGTTGAATTACCATATTTTCCTAAGTGAAGAATTGGAAGACTTTTCGTTTTACCCTTTAATACAGTGTTTCCAGATATGACACTATATATCTAAGGACTTCGAAATCCTCACCCAATTGGAACTCATAATATATATAATTGGAACCTCAATTGGAACTCATAATAATCATATAATTTTCATTTTCCTAAAATACTTTGTGAATAAACACAATTTTAATACATCAATTCTAATATGGTTTGCATGCAAATTAAAAGCCTTTATTTTTAATATTTAACAGACTAACTAAATTATACATCTTTTTAATTAACTTATCATTTTATAGCTACGACGATTCAAATTTGGTGCTCTCTATATTTAAATGTATTCAAGCTTTACTGCCTTTATTATCTAAATAAATGGCAAAAGTAGTTTAAAAGTGGATATCGCTGACGATTAATTTCGTGGCATTTTTTTAATTTCATAGATTTTCTCTGCATGACTCTGGCAGAAAAGAAGCAAAATTTCTAAAATAATATTAGGCTATAATTTTTTAGCCTCATTCTTTAGCAAGATTATTATAAATTACATTAAAATGCCATTAGTATTTTTTAATATTTTGCTAGAAGGGCAGGCAACAAAATAAAACTTCAAGTAGCTTTTTTATTTTAAAAGAATAGATGTAGATTTTATCGCTGCTTTTATTTATGCATGTTGAGCACACACATTTGACGTCGTTTCAGAAGGCTATTATAAAGGACTTTTACTTATTTTTAGTCATGTGTTTGAACATTAAATGTTTTTGTTTAGGCCAACTTGGAGGATCAAGTCGTTCAGACTAATCCTGTACTAGAGGCTTTCGGTAACGCCAAGACTGTAAGAAATGACAACTCTTCACGTTTCGTAAGTATATATATTTATTTTATAATCATTTATAGAAATATTAAACATTTAAAAAATATCACATTCAAAATTATTACTCTAAAATAATGAATAAGATAAACACATACACATAAAAGTAACAAACACAATAATACAAAGTTTCACTTTATCCTTAATATCTACTACCAATATTAACATGATTAGTGTATCTGTATATCATGAAATATAGATACGTAAAAAATTATTGATATAATCCTAAAGGATTCATATAGAAATTTTAAATAGTTTTATTAGTTTCATATTGAATTACGATAGGCATAATTTTAATAGATGGTGTGTTTTGTTTTGGATATTGAATATTAAAAAATTGAAAGTATATAATTTTTGAAATTTATAGGAAATTGGCAAATAAATTACTATTTCATTATTTAAACTAATTCATTTTAATAAATATTGAAAATTATTTCATCCTTTTTTTTACCAGAATGTTATTCAACATTATTTAATTTTTAAACTGAGATGACGTTCAGATTGAATTTACACTTGATACATTAAACGAATTAAGTTATTCTACTAAAAAATAAAATCAAGTCAAAAAATAAACCAAATCGGTTTTTAAATGATTATTCGAATTTTTTAATACTTTTTTTCACATGTCTACCATTATTATTACTTTAAAGCAGATCTTTTTCGATGTTCAAAATTGTACTTTGGTTAATATAGGCCTAATTAATGTTTATTTGGATGGTTGAATAAAATAAGATTTGTATTTCTTCACTGACTAGACACACATTGATATCATGAGATAAATTAAATTTTAAAACTATAAATAATTTATTATAGCCTATCCGATTGTTTTTATGCATTTTTTTTAATTGTCACTCACTGATATTAAAATATATATTATGATAACTATCGAATTTGGCAATTATATATTTGTCAGAATAGGAATTGATCAAACATGAATTTAAAACATTGAACACATTGTATTTAGTTAACATTATTCGATATGGCTTTGGATGACTTGCGTTTCGCAAGGCATCCAAAGCCATATCGAATAAAGATTCTTATTTATTAAATGTAAATAAGAAATAGGACATTTAAAATTATTTACTCAAAATAAAACTTATTTTTTACACATGACATAATAAATCATTTCTATTAAAAATGGAATTTACTCTATACATATACATATATATATATAGGCTATATAACTTGTAAAGAGTAACAGTGTAAAGAACAAAAAAGATAACACTTTAATAATAAAATTTATTATTAAAGTGTTATTTTTCTAATATCTTCTAATACATTTTTGTTTTATCTTCTAATACATAATGTAATTCTAATATAAACACCAATGTTTCGAAAATTAGTACAAAAAATAGTTACCGTTAAATCTATTATATGTGTTAAAATTATTTACTCTGCAGTTTCATATGTATATCATTTGATTAACAATTATTTTCTCTCCGAATAGGGTAAATTTATCCGTATTCATTTCGGTCCCATGGGCAAACTGGCCGGTGCAGATATTGAAACATGTAAGTATTGATAATATATTATGATTAGAAAATAATAATAATAATGGTGATAATACATTTTACTTAATTGATAATTTTCTTTTTTAATTTTCAGATCTATTAGAAAAGGCTCGTGTAATCTCTCAACAGCCTTTGGAAAGATCATACCATATTTTCTACCAGATAATGTCCGAGGGTATTCCAGGAACAAGAGGTATAATTTTGTAACATTTGAATAATTCACAGTTATGTGTAGATTAGTTGCAGATTCAGTTTAAGTTTTTTGTAATTAATATTAATATATATATATAAAGTTAAAAAAACAAACATTTAAAAACTTTTACTGTTTCATTTTTTTATTATTTTATATTTTCTCAAAATAAACAATAAATTAATCAGAATAACTTATAGTATTGCAAATGCTATTGCAGATTATCAGTTAGTAATAATTATCACACAAAGATTTTATCTTTATTATTATTATTAACTGTTATTGTTCTTAAAGAATATTTTTGTTTATGTTATTTTTATTTATAATTTTATCGCAATGATATTTTTTAAGAATAATTATTTACAGTTTTTAGTAAAATAATATTATAATAAGATATTTCAAAGTATTATAGTTTTCAAATTATTTTCTTTCTACAAAAACTGAATAATTGTTTTAAGAGAAACGATTATACAAGTTAGATTTTTTAAGTTAAAGATTACGTTTTATTTTTCTTCAATTATCACATTCTTTAGATTAAAATTGAATTCAACTTTCCAAAAAAAAAAAAAAAACATGAATTTAAATAACACAACCAATAATGAAAATTTATTTTATTTTTATTTCGTATAGGTTACTTCATTTCCACATTTTTATAACATTCATTTATTTCTATAATATTTATTTTGTTAAGTTTTTTTTAAATTTATTTTATTTTTAGTTATTCCATAAATATTTTTATTTTGTTTATTTATTATTTATACATATCCTGTTCATTTAATTTGCCCAAATAGAGAAAATTCTCCTATCCGACAATATCTATGATTATCACTTTGTATCACAAGGCAAGATTGAAATCCCAAATGTAGATGATGCTGAAGAATTCAGACTCACAGATGTGAGTATAAGTTAGAAAAAAACACGGATCCACTTGAATCCTCCCTATGTATATCCCAAAATTCAACTGTCTTCAAGAACGTTTCTTTTACTTTCCTACAAATTTATCTTTCTTTATATTATTCCAAGATAGCCTAGATGCAATTTTCGTCTGATTTATAAATGTCTACACATTTTTGATCATTTGGAATTTTAGGTCTAAATTTCAAATTCTTTTTCCAGATTTAGTCTCATCTTTTGCCCCAAACAACTTTCCTTCAATCTATAATAATTATATTTTCTGGATATAATGCTGAACCCAAATGTCCAAACTCCATTTCGTGGGTCTTATCTACTTATCCAACTTACCCATACACTATCATGTATTATTAAAAACAATGAATACAGTTTCTGTAGCTATTTTTTCATTTTCATAAACTAATTAATATCCTTGATTCTATGATACCTTACTTGATAAATATAAAACTAAATAGTATTTTCTTTCCTTTTCACTTTCTCCTTACCTCAGAGAAAATTCTACTTTCCGATAATATCTATGACTATCATTTCGTGTCTCAGGGTAAGACTGAAATTCCAAATGTAGATGATGCTGAAGAATTCAGACTTACTGATGTAAGTACTTTGAAAGAATTTTGCACATTTTTGCTGCCTGGCTGATTTTTATTTTTGGTTTTTATTTTGCATAAAATAAGTAAAATCGCATTTAATTGCTTTACGCAAAAATGCATTTATAGCTTTGTATATGAAGTAGCATCTAGAGGTATTAATTTATTTTTCTATAATTATTATAATTTCCTTGCTTTTATTCTACCCAACTGCAAAACTCCTCTTTATTCGCTCACTAATTTTATTTACTTAATTGCCTCATTGCTATTATTTTAATCGCTTTATATTTATCACATTATATTTATTAAACGGTTTGATTTTTAACATAATAAATTATGTTAAAGATCAAAATATTCAATATTTATTACTAATTCATAATTCTAACAAACAGGAAGCCTTTGATGTATTGGGCTTTACTGCACAAGAAAAGGCAGACATTTATGCTATCACTTCTAGTGTTATGCATTTTGGTGAGATGAAATTTAAGCAAAGACCCAGAGAAGAACAGGCTGAACCTGATGGTACAGAAGAAGGTGAACGTATTGCTCACTTGCTTGGTACCAATGCTGCTGATCTTTACAAGAATATTGTAAAACCCAAAATCAAAGTCGGTAACGAAATGGTAACACAAGGAAGAAACGTTACACAGGTACTTAATTAATTAATCTATTTAATTATTAAAATCTTTTTAAACTCAAATTATAAAATATACAAATATTGAGTTTAAATTGTTATAATTACGATTTACAGGTAGTTGCCTCTGTTGGTGCAATGGCTAAAGCTATCTTTGACAGAATCTTCAAATGGTTGGTAAAGAAATTGAACGAAACCCTGGATACAAAGCAAAAGAGACAACATTTCATCGGTGTATTGGATATTGCCGGTTTTGAGATCTTCGACGTAAGTCATATAACTTTTTATTTAAACAGATTTCAAGTTATTTGTTCTATAAATTTNTACGATATTTAAATTTTATTTCTATTTTTTTTAATTATAATTCTAACTTAAAACTACATTAAATTAGAACATCGCATGACATGATTTACATCATTTTGCGCTACTTTACGGCTCTATACTCTATAACAAACTACAGTCGACCCCCCCTATAACACTGTTGATTATTCCGTTTTATATGAATTCCATGTTGTACGAGTCACTTAGATTTTACAAATACGCGAGCCATTCACAGCCCGGCACACGTATTTGTAAAATTTAAGTGACTCGTACAACATGGAATTCATATAAAACGGAATTATGAACAGTGTTATAGGGGGTCGACTGTATTCCATTATAATGCGGTATAATATATTACACAACTCTATTTCTATTACAGTAAATATACAAGTAAACATTCATATTTACTGTATTTATTCTTTAATAAAATCTTAGAAAAGAAATAATCAATTTTTATGAATCTATTTTTTTATAAACTGTTCAATCCATTTTTAAAATCTATTTTCCTGTAAGATTTTTAACCCTTCTCAATTTTATTACGAACGAATCACATTTTAAATTTAATTTCATTCTGCCTGAATAATTACTTTCCTCAACTTTTTCCAGTATTACAAAATGTTTTATGACTTATTTTACATCACCAAGACTTCTTTATTCTATCTTTATTTTATTTTATAATTCTCTTATTTTTTACGAGTTTTTAAAAATTTTTTTCGAATGCTTTCCTTTCAATCTTGCTTTTCCTATCATTATATTTTCCTTTCCTCTATTCCTCTGCTAGTATAATGGCTTTGAACAGCTTTGCATCAACTTCACAAACGAAAAACTCCAACAATTCTTCAATCATCACATGTTTGTTTTGGAACAAGAAGAATATAAACGTGAAGGAATAGATTGGGTGTTTATTGATTTTGGTTTGGACTTGCAAGCCTGTATTGAGTTAATCGAGAAGGTATGATATTCGCGAGAGAATAAATACAGCATGAGTGGACTAAAGTGGATAGTGGCTAAACATAGGTGGAAGTAGATGCAGTGATGATTAGAGTAGAATATGTGTTATTAACAATAGTTATTCTCGTTTTTCTTCCCTTATCATACCTTATATGTTCCCTCCTTTACCAAATAAATGTTTCACCCTTTGTTAAAACCTTGTAGTACAACGGCTTTGAACAACTTTGCATTAATTTCACCAATGAGAAATTGCAACAATTTTTCAACCATCACATGTTTGTATTGGAACAAGAAGAATACAAACGAGAAGGCATCAATTGGACATTTATTGACTTTGGTATGGATCTGCAAGCCTGCATCGAATTAATTGAGAAGGTAGAAATGTTACATGTTACTTAATTCCCTGCGCTTATTTATACTATGTATATTAGATTAATTCGTGCAAATTATTGCTATTAGATATTAAATGTAGATTTCGAAATAGTTAACGTAGAAATTGTTTGTTGTGACTAATTTAAAAATACTAGAAATATAAATTTCCTCTTCGATTTAAGAACATTTGTAACTTCGAATTGTAAGTAAATTTAAAATTACTTATTTCAAAAGTAAATAAAGATTTTAAATATTAAACTACGATTAATTGTGAAATAAATTTCAATTAAAATTGTTTAAATATAAACATTTGCTAATTTTATTTTAAATTAAGCATAATTTTAATGAAACTACAAAGCGAATTAGATTTTACTAAAATACGAATTTCGTAAAACAGCCCATGGGTATCTTGTCCATCCTTGAAGAAGAATCTATGTTTCCAAAGGCTACTGATAAGTCCTTTGAGGAAAAATTGAAAAACAACCATTTGGGCAAGTCTCCTAACTTCCAGAAACCAAAACCACCAAAGCCTGGTCAGGTTGAAGCTCACTTCTCCATTGCTCATTATGCCGGAACCGTATGTATAATTTTAACAAAAGTATTTTTAAAAATGAGTGGATGAATATTATAACATGTAATTATTATAGGTACCATACAATCTAACTGGATGGTTAGAAAAGAATAAGGATCCTCTGAACGACACTGTCGTTGACCAATTAAAACATGCTTCTAACCAACTTGTGAACTGGATCTTCGAGGACCATCCAGGACAAAGTGCTGCTCCCGATTCCGGTGGCGGCGGCAAGGGTGAGTTTCGAATTTAAAATTACACAAAGATATAAAAATTAATTATTTATCTAAGCAATTAGTAAATTTTAAGCTCGGGTATTTCTGAAAGTTTATTATTTGATGAAATAATTTTCAAATTACATTTTTTTTTTCTTACTTGCATATATTTCAGGTGGTGGCAGAAAGAAGGGTTCTGCTTTCCAGACTGTATCTGGTTTATACAAGGTGAGAATTTAGTATAAAAACTTAAATGCCAATTTTATCTATATATTTTGAAAGCTATATTATTTGAAATTTCATATTACAGTATATCAAAGAATACGTTTAATTGTAAAATTTTAAGTATTTGAGTAAAAGGATTTTGAAAATAATATTAAAATTCTAAATTTCAAATAATTGTAATTTTATTTGAATTTTAATTTTTAAATTAAATTGTAATGACAATTTTTATAAAGCAAAGCAGGAAAGATGAATAGCGTCAAGTTTATGTATAATTAAAGTGACGAATCAACTGATTATTATACATCTTTCTGAAACATTGAATAATGAACATATACTAAAAATATCTGAATTTTATCTAATTATAATTTTATTTTAATTTTGTAGAGTAGTTGCTTATTAAATAAGTTATTTTTTATTTTATTATATTTGCTTTGTTTGAATATTTGTATAACCTCCTAATCTGCCTTAAAATAAAAACATTCATTCCATAAATACTTTGACTTGAATCTGTTCCTAAAACATTTCTATATGAATTCTGTATTATTCAAGGCCCTCTTCTCTTTGTCCAATTAAAAACAAAACCGAACCTGATAGATCTAAATATCCTAAAAATTTCTTCCAAACATCTTTTTCAATTACACAGTCCTCTATTTTATCCATAGAAATAATATTTATCCATATATTTATTCACACTTCGACATATTCAAATGTCGTTTTTCTGCTTAAAAGTCTTATATTGATTAATCTTATTAACTGCTTTAGTCTTAAATGATAACATGAATGAGTGAGAAGATGTAAATGATTACTATAAAATAAAGATATTTTTTTTTATTTATTATTTGCTATTTGCTTGTTTTAATATGCTTTGGCTATATATATATGCTTATAGGAGCAATTAAATAGGCTGATGACCAGTTTACACAGCACTCAACCACATTTTATTCGTTGCATTATCCCCAATGAAACGAAGACACCAGGTAATTATAAAAGCAGCAAAAATTATCATTATTATTTCTTCTGAACTTCTTCATATTCCTGGTCAAAACATGTCACTTTTCTTAAAACCTACTATTCAATTAAAACCAAATATGATCCTTCTCTGCAGTTTGATGCTCATAATTCTCATTTATGCTATTCTTCAGTCCTGTGATCTTACCCAGTGGTTTTCCAACCTTCCTCATTTTTTCCCTTAACATTTAATAACAGGAACAATTGAACAAATTGATGTGTACCCTTAATACCACAAGTCCTCACTTTGTTAGATGCATCATCCCTAATGAAACCAAAACTCCAGGTAAGTTGGTGTTATAAAAGAAAAATTAAAAAGAAATTTTTATCAAGATTTATTTAAGAAAATAAATTTTCATAAAGTTTTTCTTTTATTTTTCTGTATATAAATTGGTTTTAATGTCATTATTCTAGGATAAATTTTTCCAGATTGTCCGAATTATCCTAAGTTAGCTAATTAGCATGCATATTTATTCTATTCTATTTTACCCCTTTTATATCCTTCTGTTTCATATGACAGTTATATATTTATATATGTTTTTGAATCTTTGAATAGATTTATAACTTATTATTTTTAATTCAGTTATTAAATTGTATTTAAAAGTAAAATAATGGTAAATAAACGCCAAAAGTAATTATAAAAACTTTTGGATAAAATAATTAAAGTGATAAATATTTACGGACTAATAGTAAGCTATGTTAATAGGTCTTATTGATGCTCACTTGGTAATGCATCAATTGACTTGCAATGGTGTACTAGAAGGTATCCGTATTTGCAGGAAAGGCTTCCCCAACAGAATCGTGTATCCTGATTTCAAACAAAGGTAAGTTTTACTGATTGAAAATATTTGTAATAATGTTTATTTTTACTTTATGTTAGCATAATTTTTTAAATTTATATTAGTACAATTTTATATCCTACCCTTTTTATCCTAAGTTGTAAATGAAACAGTTTAATACAGAATACCATTTTTCATATTCCATGATTTCCATGATTCCTTTAATATTTTATCCAAGTGAATTATTTCTTGATGTCATACATGTTTCCTGAAATTTTTAGCAACTTCCCAAATCTTGAGACCATTAAAACCTAGTTTTGACTTTCCATCAACAGATCTTTCCCTATATTTTAAACTTTATATTGATTATCGTGTATTTTGACAACATTTTGCATTCTCCAGATACACAATTTTAGCTCCCAATGCTGTACCCAAAGGATTCGTTGAAGCCAAACAAGTTGCAGAAGGTGTATTGAAAGCCATCCAACTCGACGAAAATGATTATCGTCTTGGTTTAACAAAGGCATGTATTGTAGCTTCTCCCCACAATAGGGCATTAGATTGAATTAATATTGATGCAAGAAATGGTAAGGAAAAAAAGAGTCCATACCCCATCCAGTCCTGTTCGATCATTTTCCTATGAATATTTCCTCTAATTTTAGAAAAAAAAGTCTAGAAGCTCTCTTGCTTACCCAGAAATCCTATTATCAAAAGTTTAAATAGCATATCCCAGTCTATTTCCTATATGAAAAGCACATTTCATTTAAGAACCCAATTTTCTAGATAATAGAAATAAGTCCATTAGATCCAAATAGATATTATCTTATTCTTTTATTTCCTGAATTAAAAATAATAATTTATTTCCCAAATCCTTTACAATTATAATAATGTTATCTTCTTCATAAAAATTCTCATAATAGTCAGATAGAATTCTTATTTTAAATCTTATTCCTATCCAATACTATTGCACGAAACATTTACTTCCTTTATTTCAACTTCATCTTAGAATTCTATTAATAATACCTTTGTCTAGCCTATATGGCCAATGCTCTTCACTAAATAGTTTAGAAATTTTCATTATTTCCTTATAGATCTATATTTAACTAAAATAGAATATTCTACTTGAAATTATACACAATATCCTTTTATACTTCTTCAAGAGAAATATTTTCCTCCGAATAATAGTAGAAACAAATATTCCTTTTCTTTTCAATGATTAACATTACCCATCTGAAGAATGAAGACTGAAGAGACCACCCCTAGAATTTCCCTTCCTTTTACTTATTCTTCCATATCCTTTCCTAGATACACCATTCTTGCTCCTAATGCTATACCTAAAGGTTTTGTGGATGCCAAATGTGTCGCAGAAAAAATATTGGAAGCTATCCAGCTCGATTCAAATGATTTTAAATTCGGTAATTCAAAGGCAGGTAACATTTCTTATATTTATAAAGGGCATGTGAAACTCGTGAGATGAAAGAAAAAAGGTGAAATGTTTTATATTTTCATTTAAATGGTAAATTTTTCTGTAATAAAAAAGACCGTACTAACCTATTATGAATGGAACAGGTATTCTTCAGAGCTGGTGTATTAGGTCGTCTTGAAGAACTGAGAGATGATCGTCTTGGCAAAATTGTCACTTGGGTGCAATCTTGGATCCGTTGGTACAATGCCGTCAAGACCTTTAAGAGGCTTCAAGAACAGAGGTGAGTCTTTGTAAGAAAAAATATAAAAGTTTATAAAACGATAATAATATCGTTTAGTAAGAGTAAGAAACTCCAGATTCATTTTTTAATCCTTTAGTTGACCTAGTATCTTTTTTAGTAATTACTTATTTCCCTAAATACGAAATATGGCGAATGAAGCCAAGTTTCTGTAGTTAGTTACTTATTTGGCAGAGAACTAATTTTTAGTAGAGTGCAGATCCGCCCTCAAGTCTATTTTACTTATGGATGGGGTTACTCTTACTGGATGTTTTACAAACATTAGCAGTCAACACGGGACCAATGGATCAACAGTTATGATATACATATTTCTCCATTTATAGGGTTGCTCTTTTGGTTATCCAGCGCAATCTACGAAGGTTCCTTACACTCCGCAACTGGTTGTGGTGGAAATTGTACGCTAAGGTAAAAATATTAGTAAAGTAAAAAATTTAAGGATATTTGTTCGCTATGGATGAAGATTGTGATGCCGAAGTGTCAATTGAACAGGTCAAGCCTTTGCTTACTATGGCTAAAGTAGAAGATGAATTAAAAGCTTTAGAAGAAAAATTAAAGAAAGCCGAAGAAGCCTTGCAAAAAGAAGAAAAACTGAGGAAAGATCTGGAGGTGCATAATGTTAAACTGTTACAAGAAAAGAACGATATGTTTTTGCAATTGGAATCTGAACGTGCCGGTAGCGGTGACGTTGAAGAACGTTTGCAAAAGACTATTGCTATCAAAGTTGACTTAGAATCTCAGCTTCAGGTGAGTTTTGTTATTTAGTTAAAAAGATTTGAAAATATTTGGACCAGCAACAAGCACACAAATAGAAACACTGAGAAATTACTGTTGGATATTTTCGTCATAAACAATAAATTTTTTTCATAGTTGAAATTTCTCTTTCGATCTTCAGTTATTCGGCACACATTTATTTCTAATATAAATTTCATAAATAAATAAATAATAATAAATTACTAGGAAATAAAAATTGTATTCTGATGACGCTTCTATATATGGAGAGTTGGATATTACTTTCAGGTAATGACGGCAGTAAGATATAAGTATAAAATTACTCATACCTTGCCAAAATGAATATTTCAGTTTTGGAAATTGGAATGAATTTGAAATGTGTCTACAAAATTTATTTCAGAATTTAAATTTTTATATTGTTCGTTCCGAGTTTCATCCGAGATTTACAAAATGTGTTAATAAAGCTGTCACTCGTTTCTAAAATAATATATTCCATTTTATTAAATTCTATTTTTATGTGAATAAGGAAATCATTTAGTTAATAGGTAACTAGTGAGGATAGTTTTAGCAACATAATTAGGTCGAGCTATCTAATTTAATCCTTTTGGATTGAATCCCTGTTACTGTGCCTTATTCATGCATCATTCCGACACAAATGGCATCAATGGTACAACTCTTTCCTATTCTTGGTATGTGATGCGGAAAGCTATACTGCAGACACCGCTTACTAATACCATATGGGGTATCGCATTACTTTTTTTTATCTCTCTACCGAGCATGCGTCAAACTGTTTATTTTGTTCCTCCCTTCCCATCCAGAGCGTGGGTGTTCATCTTCCCCATCTAAGTGATGATGTTGATAGAAATATACGGAGTCTTAAAATATTGTCTTAGTCATTCGACTTTGGACATCCCGAGACGCTAGTTCGTCCTTCGAAAATTATTCGAATTTTGATGTTTTTGTAATCAAGTGAACGTGCAGTGTTTCAAAGTGTTCTGTGATTTTAGCTGTCCAAATTATTTTCGAATATTATCGAAATGGCAGATATTGTTGATGGAATCGACACTAGTCTGCCTATTGAGAAAATGACCAATGGAATTGCTAATGATGTACTTCATTCCATGGAATCCTATATACAGGAATTGCAAGATAGGTTGAACCATGAAGAGGATGCTCATTCCAGCCTTAACAGTGTCAAGAAGAAGTTGGAAGGTGAAATTTCAAGCTTGAAAAAGGATATGGAGGATTTGGAACTGACCATCCAAAAGGTAGAAATAAATTTTGTTGGATTCAATAAAAAAAAAACATTATTTGAAGATGTGAATTATAAACTTATTATTAAAATAGGCCGAACAAGATAAAGCTAGTAAGGACCATCAAATCCGAAACCTTAACGATGAAATCGCGCACCAAGACGAACTTATCAATAAGCTCAACAAGGAAAAGAAACAATTGCAGGAAATGGGTCAGGTAAGCTACAAAAGATCAGATTTAATAAATAAATTTAAATTTATTTAATTATTAATATTATACTAATTATAACATTATATTATAGAAAACTGGCGAAGATTTGCAAGCTGTAGAAGACAAAGTCAATCACTTGAACAAAGTCAAGGCTAAATTAGAACAGACCTTAGATGAGGTATGTAACAAAAGATTAGATAAATTATTATTTACTCAATATTCAAAAACTTAATTGAGCATTTATTCTAATAGCTCGAAGATAGTCTTGAAAGAGAAAAGAAATTGCGAGGTGAAGTAGAAAAATCAAAGAGAAAAGTCGAGGGTGATCTGAAATTAGCTCAAGAAGCAATCGCTGACTTAGAGAAGAATAAGAAAGAATTAGAACAGACAATCCAAAGGTAGTCTTAAAAAATATAAATAAATTTAATCTGTAACTGTAAATGTTTAAAACGAAATTTAATATATTTAGGAAAGACAAAGAAATGGCCAGTCTTAATGCCAAATTAGAAGATGAACAGAGTTTGGTTGCTAAACTGCAGAAACAGATTAAAGAACTTCAGGTATATAAACTAATGAGAAATGCCTTTTATGTTTAAAACGTGTTGACGTGACGAAAAATAAGTTTCTTTTAAATATTTTTTTAAAACATACTTAGAATTTTTTCTTGGCGATTTTCGGGAAATCTTAGTTGTTACCATTGGCATTGGTCCATTCATTAGTGTCACTTACCTTATAAAGACCACCCTATAATATTGATTTAGTCTTTAGACGATCTGTCTTCGGTTAGTTTATCTTAAACTCTCAAATCGAATGCGGAACGAGTCGAAACATCTGTGCTGTTGCCAGATATACAATGAGTCAGGAGGAAGTGCATGCAATAGCCGTGTTCTTCTAAACCTTTTAAAACTTATATACAACTCATTGCTTTAAAAAAAAGTAGACGGGAAGTTTTTAACTGTCTAGTAATAATGTCTGAAAATAACGCTAAAGAAAAAATTTCCAACCGCAATTTTCGAGAATTCCATTTAGACGATGCTTCCTCCCTAACGTGTTTGTGTCTGTTGCCAAAAACGGGTGTGTGGAATGTGACTCACTTCGGTTCTCGCAGAACATTTATGGAATCTCTAACTGGGATAGAATTTCAACAACTATATCCGTTGTCGGTATACAAGAGAGTCACTTTACTGCTTTTGTACCAACCTGAGACATGGATCCCTCAATCCAAGTTAATGGTGATACCCAACCCATCGAGGACGGAATATCTAACAATGATACCATTTCAAACTTAAAACCACCTGAGGATAGTTTTTATCCCTTTCAAAAATCTTCTTACTGTCCACCTAGTCATCGACTTAGCACCGAAAGTAAACGAATAATTCGCAAGACTCAGGAGCCTGTGTTGGCAACTTGCACTAGTACAGTTCGTTTTCTTTACGAAGTAGGGAAACTTTGTTAATAAGTCTTCTGACTAACATGCCTCATCACTTTGCAACATTCTTCTTTATTGTCTGGCAATAAGGATAGCAGGTAACAATTTCAAGGGAGCGCTACTACGTTCTAATTTTCCACTTCTTGTTACTCTATTTTTAGCTTTACTGCTTTTCATTAACAAATGTTAACCGAGACTTTGGCTTGATATCGTATTTGAAATGTGTATGAAGTGCTATTTATTTAAATCTAAATACGATAATTAAAAACTAAATAAAATTTTATTAATTTAAACTTATCTCGATTTCAATATTTATTATATTTATAGGTATACTATTTCTCTCTAAATTTTGCATAGTTAATTTCTTTTTTGTATATTTTTGTTGTAATTAGTTCTTCAGATAAATATATTTATACAAAATTTATTTATTCTGTAAATACCTAAAAATAATTCGAAAATTTGACAGTAAGATCTTGTAAGCTTTTTAGAATAATTTCAAGAATTAGTAGCTATTAAACAATTTATTGATAATAGTCATTATTTTTAATAGGCTAGAATCGAAGAGCTCGAAGAAGAACTTGAAGCTGAGAGACAATCTCGCGCCAAGGTATTTGCACTCTTCCTTAATTAATTTTATAATTTAATTAAATATAATTACTCTTGTTAATAAAACTATTTATTAACAATTAGGCCGAGAAACAACGTGCTGACTTAGCAAGAGAGATTGATGAACTCAGCGAGCGCTTGGAAGAAGCTGGAGGTGCTACATCTGCACAGGTAATTAAATTGAAAAATTAATCATTTTTGATTTTTGAAATTAAAATAGGAGCTTAGAAATAATTTTTTTTAAATAAATAGATCGATCTCAACAAAAGACGTGAAGCCGAAATGGCCAAGTTGAGGAGGGATTTGGAAGAATCTAACCTGCAACACGAACAAATCCTTGGCAATCTCAGGAAAAAACATAACGATGTTGTTGCTGAATTAAGTGACCAAATCGACCAAATGAACAAGCAGAAGGCTAGGTAGATAAATTTATTTTTCAGAAATAGACTATTGAGTTTATTTTATTAATAATAATTAAATGTATCAATAAATCTAAAAATTATAATTGATCGCGTAAACTAGTATAGCCTACATAATTCTAATTATTTTTAATTTATCTTACAACCCTCATTTCTTGGCTTTAATCTTATTGTAATGCTGTTTATTCGATTAAGATAAGCCTTATTCAATATAATATATAAAGCTATATTGAGTAAGATTTAAAATACTGTAAATTAGACTTACGTAAAACATAAAACTTACATAAAACGCCGAAGTTAGACTCATGTATGATATTTTAATATGTAATCAAATATTGAAATAATTTCTTAATAGGTTAGAGAAAGAAAAGGCTCAACTGAAGGGAGAATTAGACGATGTACGTTCTAGCGTGGACCATGTAGGCAAGGAAAAGGTAAATTTGAAATTTTTATCAAAATAGTTAAATTAATAATAAATGATTGAATAATTTACAATTTTATAATTTATAGGCTAATGCTGAGAAACAAGCTAAACAATTAGAAATGCAATTGTCAGAATTACAAGGCAAACTTGATGAATCTAATCGTAGCTTATCTGATTACGATAGCGCCAAGAAAAAACTAAGTGTTGAGAATTCCGAATTGCAGAGACAATTAGAAGATGCCGAATCTCAAGTTAGCCAGCTTAGCAAACTGAAGTCATCTCTCCAATCACAATTAGATGATGCAAGGAGAACAGCCGATGAGGAGAGTAGGGTAAGCACAGAAAATAAATAAATAAATTCTAATTATTTTATGGAATTAAAAGTTACATTTCTATATTATTTATTTTTTGTAATACAGGAACGATCTGCTATCATGGGTAGATTCCGCAACTTAGAACACGATCTTGATGGCCTCCGCGAACAATTAGAGGAAGAACAAGAAGCCAAAGCTGATCTGCAAAGGCAGATGAGCAAAGCTAATGCCGAAGCCCAATTGTGGAGAAGCAAATACGAGAGCGAAGGTCTTGCTAGACTGGAAGAATTAGAAGAAACAAAGTATATAATTTTTCTGTAAAAATTAATGCGTTTTATTATAATCGATTTATTTATCATTATTTATTTTACATTCTAGGAGGAAACTCGATGCCAGATTAGCAGAAGCTATGGAAACCATTGATCAGTTGAATGCTAAATGTAATGCTCTCGACAAAGCAAAATCTCGTCTCCAAGGTGAAGTTGAAGATATGACCATCGAAGTTGAAAGGGTAAAACATTTAATTTTAATTGTATAAAGTATTTAAAAAGGAATTTATTATATAAATCTAATTACTATTCATGTTTTTAGGCTAATGGTCTTGCAGCTTCTCTTGAGAAGAAACAAAAATCCTTCGATAAAATTGTTGCTGACTGGAAACAGAAAGTTGACGATTTAGCATCTGAATTGGATGCTTCTCAACGAGAATGCCGCAATTATTCCACTGAATTGTTCAAGCTGAGGTCACAATACGAAGAGAGCCAAGAACATTACGAAGCTCTAAAACGAGAAAATAAGAATCTTCAAGGTAAGATTTTATTTTACAACATACAGAAATATTTCTAATATTATTCAAAATATTTTAATGATCATTAGTCGCTTAACCTCTCGAAATTGATAAATATTTGCATTTTCAGACGAAATAAAAGACTTAGTGGACCAACTTGGCGAGGGTGGTCGCAGTGTACACGAATTAGAAAAATCTCGAAAACGATTGGAGATGGAGAAGGAAGAACTCCAAGCTGCTTTAGAGGAAGCTGAAGCTGCTCTTGAACAAGAAGAAAACAAAGTTCTCCGTGCTCAACTCGAACTGTCTCAGGTTAGACAAGAAATCGACCGACGACTTCAAGAGAAAGAAGAAGAATTCGACAACACCAGGTAAAATGCAATATTTTAAAGAATGCGTTAATTAATATATTGATTTCACGTTCAATTAAACGTTATTATTTTGTAAATTTTATAGGAAAAACCATCAACGCGCTCTTGATTCCATGCAAGCAAGTCTTGAAGCCGAAGCTAAGGGCAAAGCTGAAGCTCTCCGAATGAAGAAGAAACTTGAAAGTGACATCAATGAATTAGAAATTGCCTTGGACCATGCTAATAAGGCTAATGCAGATGCCCAAAAGAACATCAAGAAATACCAACAGAACTTAAAGGAGATGCAGACAGCTCTCGAAGATGAACAAAGAGCTTGCAGTGACATGCGTGAACAATACCATATGGCTGAGAGACGATGCAACGCTATGCATGGAGAATTAGAAGAGAGCAGACAATTATTGGAACAAGTAAGCATTTAATAATTTTGTGTAATGTTAGTTAACAATATATAAACAATTCTTAAATTTTGATTATTGTTGATTACAGTCTGATAGAGCAAGACGATCTGCTGAAACCGAACTTGGAGAAGTTCACGAACAACTTAACGACGCTTCTGCTCAAGCTTCATCTCTCTCTATGGCCAAGAGGAAGTTAGAAGGCGAAATGCAAGCATTGCATGTAAGATTTTTCTGACAGAAACTAATAAAACAATTTACAACAATTAAACAAGATTATAACATCAATATTAAAAATAAATGTTAATTTTATTTATTTAGGCTGATTTAGATGAAATGTTGAATGAAGCCAAGCAGAGCGAAGAGAAGGCCAAGAAGGCTATGGTTGATGCTGCTCGTCTAGCTGATGAACTTAGAGCTGAACAAGAACACGCTCAACAACAGGAAAAGATGCGCAAGACTTTGGAACAACAAATTAAGGAATTGCAAGTTCGATTGGATGAAGCTGAGGCAGCTGCTCTTAAAGGTGGAAAGAAAATCATCCAGAAACTCGAACAGAAGGTTTGTTTTTAGATGCTCAATCATAAAATGATATAGTTCAATTGGATGCTCGGTACTGAAGTTCTCACACTTTCAATATAGGTTCGTGAACTGGAAAATGAACTTGAAAACGAAACTCGTCGTCACGCTGATGCTGCTAAGAATGCCAGGAAATCAGAACGTAGAGTTAAGGAATTGCAATTCCAAGGAGACGAAGACCGTAAGAATAACGAGCGCATGCAAGACTTGGTCGATAAATTGCAGCAAAAGATCAAAACATACAAGAGACAGATCGAGGAAGCTGAAGAAATCGCTGCACTCAACCTCGCCAAATTCCGTAAGGCACAACAAGAATTGGAAGATGCAGAAGAACGTGCAGACTTGGCGGAGAACGCTGTTTCTAAACTTCGTGCCAGAAATCGCAGCTCAGCATCCGTAGGTCGTGCAATGAGCCCAGGTGTAAGTATACCTAAATGCCTAACATTTGATTCTCCATCTCTCACCATTCCGAAAATCCAAATTCCCAAAAACCAAATATTCCACACGTCCCTATCGAAACATAATTGGAACATCTGAGTTAACTTGCCTACTACTGGTCTTTTCCACTCTCGGACTCCCTGGTGTTGCATATATTTTTAATATATTTTATCGATTATCATATCTGATTTGGTTACCTGCTCATTTTATGTGCAGCCCATGATGAAACGTCCTAAATCCAAACTCGCCGAAGAATAAATCGATCGAAAACATATATAAATTTCTTAGGTGAGCAGCTTCCTTATTATTTAAGATCTGCTAACTAACGCCTATAAAATATGTATGTACTGTACTTGAGATGATAATATTACATTATTAATTACAATATTTTACACATAATTTAACATTTTAAAAGACCATTTTACACCTCACAGTTTAATTTGATGAATTAGATTTTAACTCTTCCTCATATTTTTCAGCCTGCCAACATCGACATCCGTCCCCTCCTAAATACTGCAGCCGGGCTATCACCTTTCCTCTCCATAACACCTCATGGAAAGCAGCTGGCAGAAGCAGAGTCGTCTTCCATTTACGCCAATTAGATTGTGTCATCGTCAAAGAAGCTATTTTTTCTGTGTCTTGTGTTTGTTTTTATATCGTATGTATGAGAAGCTGGACTACACACAAGGATTCTACAATATCAGCCTCTTTTCTCTCGTTCGTGGCTTTTCTTCCGATAATTTAAATAGTTAAAAAAAATATATATCGGATGTGAAAAGGAAGAAAACTGTGTTATTTGTTTTTTCTTGCATTTGGAAATAAAACAACATTATAACACTTTAACGAAAAATTTTGTCTATTGTGCTTTTGGAAGAAGATCCAGCGGCTTTATGTATTATTTTAGAATAGATATTTTATTTCTTCCCTCTTCTATTTCATTTTTTGTCAATAGAAGATGAAAGAAAACAAACGCGTCGATACTGTTGAAGCAATTAATATGCCAGCAGAGGTGTTTGGATAATCCTGTGTACTTTTGAACACTTCCTTAAATAAATACAAGGCTGCGGACATTATAAATTCTTTTATTATTATTATTCTTTTCATTTTTCACTTCTCTTAGATCGCTTTTAACACATTTTATATTACACTCGGGATCAATTATCATTCTTTAATTAAGTAAAGTTTAGCACATTTAAAATTTTTAAAAAGTAAAGAATATGAACTAAACTAAATTAAAATATTATTAACATATCTCAGTTATATAAACTTACGGAAGAAAAAATAATTTTAATTAGAATATTTAAATTCGTGAAATTTACATTCTTTCGAAATTAAATACATATAAACGAATACAAAAGGGTAAACACAGTTTAAAAAATTAATATTTTAAGTATGGCGCATGTACTTAAATGTAATTAACATATTTTTACATAAAATTATTAAATCGTTTCGTAAATGATTTAAAAATTAAATATAAAATTATCATCAATAATTAGTAAAGATTTATAAAGAAAATGAAAAACAATATTTGTGAAAAAATATATATTATCGGTAAAATTTGAAAAAATAAACAATCTTGATATCATTAAAGCTTACGTGATCGGTTATTTTTAAACCAGGCGCATTTTAGAAACGATTACGAGTTAAGTGAAATGAAAACCTTCATATATATGTTTCATTACAACTTCTCTTTTACAAATGAACAGTGATTGATGATGACATTCATGACGTTAATACATAAAACTACACGAATCTACAATTTAAATTATTGAAAATATAAATCCTAATAAATATATAAAGTGTTTAGCTTATTAGCTTACATAGTAATCCAATATATAAAATTCTTTTCTACTCATTTTTACATCAATTTTTTTCTAATATTAGAACTTGAAAACATTTTCCCAGCCACATCTCTATCAAAATGAATGATATATTCACATTTCTCGTAATAAAAAACAAAATTTATGTCTGCTGTCTGTGTATTGCTAATTTTTAAATTTTTGAATTGATTTCAATTGGCATGATAAGAGGATGTTACAACAAAGTGAAAAAGAATTTGATTATATCATAAGATAGTTATTTTAGTAGTTTTCTTTCACTTTCTTCTAAATTGTGTAGGTTGTAAAAGAAGCTAATAGATTTTTAACTTATCAGACATTAAAATTATACTTTGCCACTAAAAAAAACGAATTTAAAAGGTTAAGAAAATATTCTGTCCGAGTATATTTAATCAAAGAGTAAAACCGCACCTTAATTCTGTGCCAAAAGAGCACTCTTTCGTCATTTCGAACCTGGTTGTCACGAGAGACAGAAATAGCATCACAGCACTCATCTAAAAACAAATGCTTCCTTTGATGTTAATTTTTAGTGATGCAATGACGTCATTTACTGTTTTAGCGTACAAAATTGTCCCAATTTTCTTATCCTCTTAATACATCAGCGATTCCATAAATAAGCAATAAATAAGAATATTGCAAATATTTAATTATTTAATATTTATAATCAATTCAATGTAAATTATTTTAAGTTGTTTACTTAATCGGATAATAAGTTAATATATTTATCTATTTTGTATGATATCTTGATATGAAAGGAAAATATATAAATCAAGATATTTTATTAAAAAACACTCAAGTATTCTTTTAGATAGAGTTGTATCGATGGAATTTAAAAGAGCTTAAGATATTAAGAGAATCCATAATAATAATAATAATATAAAATTTAAGCGATGTTATTGATGACAATACTGATCTTTTAATACATCTTTCCATTCTCTTCCTTTCTACCCTAAAATACTAATACTACTACTACTACTAATAATAATAATATATTTTTTGAGAAGTCTCAATGTTAAGGATTATCATTTTAACATCATTTTAAAACAAAATGAATTTTATTATTTATTGAATTTATTTAGAATCATATATATACAGTATTTAGTATATTATACTATATATATATATATATTAAATAAATAAATACTATATATTATTATTTATTTATTTTATTGTACTAATTTTTATTATAAAAAACAATTATAATTTTATGTTACGAGTACACGTATATACTTTACAATTTATAAAGAAATACTTATAGATTTATATATGTTTTATATTGTATAATATTAAAGTAACAATCAGACCAATCTTAATTTATTACTTCAAAACTCATTCCATTTTTTAGACATCTATAAATTAAATAAATTATGTGTAGAGTAGCCTACTGAATAGCGTTAAAAATAGAATTTAAACCAACTCCAATTTGACGAGAGAAAAATATTTTTTTTTCCTAAATTTAAATCTTATAAATCGTAACAATGAGAACTTTTTTAATTAAGTAATTGTGCATTATTTAAATTAATTAAACTTGATATTTTTGGTTAAGTTTCTTTAAATAAAAAACTTAACAGTTTTTAAAATAACTTTCATTAAAGATATCTAAAGACATATTAGAGTTACCTTGAGTACTATGACATATTTTCATTTTGACGTTTTACCACTAAAAACTGATATTTTTGTTGGCTCTGCCATTTAAGATTTTTTTGACAAATTAACCTTAAAAAATTATCAAGTTACAAGTTTTATCTATTCAGGATTAAAAAAAATTGACTTTTCTTTCTAATTTCGTTCTCGTGGTTTCAAATTTAA